GACATGCTTTCATGCTCTTTGGGAATGTTGGCCACAACCCGTTGCTGCTCTAATCCGATCACTTTCGTAAGGTCATCTGAGGAGATGGAATAGTATCTAGCTTTGTCGCATTAGAGTCTATGTTCTTGGTGACAACTGGGAAGCATCGTATTGTGTAACAAAGGTAGCAGGTGGGAACTCCAGCAACCTTCAACTGCTATCTTTGATGCCTCTTTTGTAATTTTATGATTAAGGCTTCAATGCTGGGTCTGCTCACTCCTCTCCAGAGCTTCTAAGCCAGGCTGTAGTTGGAGCACTGATATCCTGATTTGACTTCCCCACTAGACCAAATGCCATGATAGAAAGGACCAACTCCCTAGTTACTGTGTCCATGCCCACCACCATGCCTGCTGGTGCCAAATGGCACAGGGTAGGTGCTTCATAGATGGATGTCAAGTGTTTTAAGTCGAAGTATGAGGAATGTCGGCATCAACCTACCACCTAGTTCGTGAACCTACAGATCAGTTAATAACTCAGATCTTGGGAAGTCTTCTTCGGAAAAGGAAAGATTAGAGGCAGTCTACAAAATAGAAACCGTGTTAACTCAGTGTTTGGGGGGAAAAGATCTGACTGAGATCTAACACGTGAAGTAGTTTGCAAATGTCTGTCAACTAAGGTTTTATCATCTCTCTTGCTTGGCAAATTGCAAGCCCCACCCCTCCAGCTCCCAAAACCACATCTATATACACAAAGGCTCCTAGCCAGTAGGGCCAACCCAGAACCCAAGTTGGTGACAAGACCAACCACTCCAGCCAGTGGTCCTATCTTAAAGTTTCTGCCTCCAAAGTTACTTCTTAATGCAAGAGTGTGCATACCCTTCCCCTCCTCCACCGGCTCTGGAGCATTTCTAAAATTTAAAGTCATCAAAGGCTCTCCAAGCAAACATTAAGCCCCCCCCACTTTTTTTTTTTTTTTTTTGCATAATCTCTGTCCTTAATATCATGGCACCTGGGAGGCATGCATGCTCTTGCTTAACTTAGAGCCCCTGAATAACCAGCAGGCCCAAGCTTTCCTAGGACACATCACATAAGGGAAGAAGTACGCTAACTTTACGGTATCACCTGCCATCTGCTTTAGTTCCTGCAGCATGGCTAGTGTGTCTAACCAGGTGGTATTAACCAGGCTTAGAGTTTTTATTGCTAAGCCAACAGAAGAGCTTAGCAAAGAGACACAGATTCCAACTGAAAAATGCAGAGTGAAATTATCAAGCAGGATTCTGATACAGGTAAGTCACACTGAGCCTGAAAGCTAACAAGCTGTCAGTCCTCAAATCTGCTAGCTAAAAATTCTTTAGCTGGGCACAAAAAATTGTCCCTGGCTGCTTCTGCTCAACAGGTACATTCCGCCCATCACCTGTGCAGAAGGTACTTTTGGACCCTTTGTCTTGGAAGTACTGTCCGTGTTGTGCCCTAAGAATTCTTCTGAGATGGACGTAGAGGAGAAGGGAACATAGTAAGCAATTTTGAGTCTATCAATTAACCATCTGGAGAGCAGCCCACCCTGAGAGGCTCTCCTAAGGCAGGTACATTTATCATAAACATCATTGCAGACCTTATCATAGCCCTTGGAGGCATTTGATTTCTCATAGGCTAGAATGGGAAGGTAGCTTTCCAAAGTAAATTTAACTGTGACTTAAGGTCAAAGAGGTAACTGCCTATCCTTGATCATTCGTCCTTCTACCAAAAAGGACAGCATCATTCACATTCTGTAAGAAATAGAGTACAGTCTAGGTACTTAACATGAGTTATCTGTACGTGTATGCTGTGCTCTGAGTCTTTCAGCCTTTGGATGGAAACCCAACGCCATATGTCTGGGAGCTCCCTGCTCCCTTGATTATGGCCATGTTCTACTCTGGGAGTTCTTGTGAAGTCTCACCAGGTTGATAATTCTGGAATCGAAGGGGCTTGGAGCTACTTTTCATCGCTTCTAAAATGGTAGTAAAACTGCTCAAGTGAAATAGAATTTATGGTTATTCAACTTTATGAAAGGCAGAAACACTTAAATCAGGACCTCACTGCTTTGAAGCATGGAGACTTCCATAATTAACCTTGCTAGAAATGCTAAGTGCTTCAGTATGCAATTGATCACGGTACAGTCGCAATACTGGGCTGCACTGCCGAACCTGGCCTTCATACACACACAAGGAATCTGGGGACACAAGCAGTAAAAGCCAAGAATCAAAACAACACAGGACGGACATTCTAGCTAAATGACATGTGAAGGGAGCAACAGGCCCATTCACGGGAGGGAGGGAGGGGCTCAGACTTCAGGAAGCTATCACTTGCCGGGTGATCCTCCTTTAAAGAATCTGGGCTCCCATGCTTGTTCTATGGTTGAATGAGGATTAGGATCACTGTCACAGTTTCCCTTGCTGCAAGGGGATGAGAGTTAAGTTTATTTTCTCTTCTCCCTCTGGGTTAAGCTAGCTAGTACTACTAGCTTCATGAACCTTTCCCCACAGTCAGAGAAGTTTCTGTCTCCTCTTCTGCTAGTTGCTAGCCATTTTAAACAGCCCTCCTAAAACCTTTGTTCTTCTAGGCTCTGGCTTTAATGAATATGTGGTACCCCACATCCTAATCTTGACTACCTTAGGCTGGAGGAAATGTACTAGAAATGTACTAGAATTCCCAAGGATTTGCAATCAGGAGTGCAACTCCACTCCTGAATTTCAACTTCTCTTGTTAGCCTGGTTGAAGTTTTCAGTCAGGATCTGAGAACATTCCTGCCCTGTCCTAGAGTATTTTAGACCAGTACCATGAGTGTATTTGGCGAGGGGAGGTATTGAAGGGGGGTGAGAAGAAGGGATGTATATAAAACCAGGACCAAAAGGTCAACTCACACACCCTGGGGCTTTGAACTTCAGAGAGGAGTCAGTCTGGGCTGGCGTAAGATCAGTATCTCCTCAGCCAATCCCAGATTCTATCCGGTGGAAAAAACGATGTGCCCCCTTTCCTTTGAAAATTTATGTCTTGCATGGGCTTTTGTTTTTCGCTATTCATGGCATGTCACATATTTCACATGTGACACAGGGGAGTCAGGGGGACCCTCACCTACCTCATACAAGGCCAACTAACTCATTTCAACAGTTCAAGGGCATTCGCAGCGTTCTGTAGAATACAGTTAACCTCCAAGGGAGAGTTATTACATGTTACATTAAAAGAAAACATGCAGCAAAAAACCCTTTCTCTCACCTCCAGGAAGGTTGTTTATCAAGAGTTTCTGGTATACCTTAGTCTTTTGAAATGTTATGAAAAGTATAATACAAGTCATGGTACTATTCCGAGAAATCATTTAATAAGTTAGTATTGCTCATCCATTAATGATTAATGTTCCAGTCTGAAAATTCTTGTAGGCAGGCCTTTTCCAGGCCCTGAGGTTTGTTACCCATCAGAGGCTGTCTCCACGACTCGCCTTTTTCCGGGAGTCCAGGTCGGGGAAAGCTTTTGGGAGAACAGTGCGAGGGAGCCTGTCCGGTGTTACGCGTTCCCTCACAGATCACACTTCTCAGGCTTCTATACGCTGACTTCGCGGAGCCATGTGACCAACCCAAACGTGATCGGGCGGCCAGCCAATCGCAGAGGGCAGAAAAGCCCGTCCCAGCTTCACACGCTCGCTCGGGATAGTCCGAGCCAAAGGGCAGGGGGGGCATTGGGAGGCTTCGAACTCCCCAGGTATGGCCCGAGACTGCTTGACCGCACACTTTAAAGTTGGCTCACTTCAGGAGCCACGTGACTGCAGGCAGGCGGGCCTCCCGAGCCACCGGGCGGTAGGAGCTAGGACTCTGGAATGGGTGCTCGGATCGGGGGCAGCCTTCTGTCCACTTCCCCGGAGCTGGCCAGCAGGGCCCTCCGCGTCCTGTCAAGATCACTTCAGGGACGCGCCGGGACTCTGACCGAATCCGTGGAAGGGCTTCCTGTCCTCTGCCCAGGAAAGTTGTGCGGCTCCAACTGGGAGAGTGGCCGAGGACGGGGCTCCCGGGCCCAGTGCGGCAGACCCGGGGCGCTCGCAGTAGTCCCCAGCGCCACACACCAGCTCTCTCGCGCTACTCCCTTTGATCTATTGTTTGGAATGAAGGCTAATTACACAGTCACTAGATTAGGACTCAATTCCTCTCGAGGAAATCTCACCGGGAACGAAGATCAGCAAACTAACCTGATTAAGTCTTCCTTGCGCTCCCCCCCCCCCCCCCCTCAGCTACACTGGAGACCCGAGAGGTTTACAAACACGGCGCGAGGGGGGCGGGGAGCGGGGAAAAGAGGTGAAACACCCAGCGGGGAGTCCTGTTTGAGACCGCACTCGTCTTCTAACCCCTACTCCAGAGAGACCACCGGCGCCCGGGGAGTCGCAGTCCGGGTGCGCAGGCTGCGCACTTGAAGTGGCTCCCTGGAGCCTCCCGGCTGCCGCCCATCGAACGTGCGCCCGCTCACCGTCACCAGGGACTCGCTGCCGGGACCCGCACCCGGCGCCCCGCGTCCCCGGGGGCGCCCATCCTCGACCACCGAACACTCCCACCCCCCCTCAAGTCCCAGGAGCGTGCCCCGGGCTCCCGCGCACCGCTCGGCCCGACCCGGCCCTCTGCCTCCTTCCTAACACTCCGCCTGGCAGAGCAGACAGAACCATTGTTCAGAGGCTCAGAAGCCCACATTCCCCAGCCCCGGCCAAGCGGGGTGAAAAACGGGGCAAAACAGTGGCTTTGGGGGACAGAGTGTAAGGGAATGAAGACTAGTTCAGGCGAGGCTTTAGGACACCCCAAATCCCGCTGTCCCCCAAGCCCGGCTCCCCGTGGCCGCGGCGCTGACAGTCAGCTCAGAGGCGCCACCAGGGTTGGGAGGGAAAGAAGGCGAGCAGAGCGGAGAGGCGCCTCCTAGGAGGGGGGTGGGCAAAAGGAGACCCGCGCCTCGGGGCCCCCAGGCGCCCCGGCTGGGTCCGGGCAGCCGGCGGAGGGGCGCGTCCTCACTCACCCGCTCCGGTGGCGCGGCTTTCCCGGGGCGCCCAGCACAGCGCGAGCAGCAGCCAGAGCGCCCAGCGCGCGGACGTGCCCATGGTGCCCGCCTGGATGGTGCCGCCGCCGCCGCCGCCGCCGCTCGCTAGCTCCGCACAACAAGTTACCAGCCCTTCGCAAAGGAGGAAGGAGGTGGGGGCGGGGAGGGGGGAGGGGGAGGAGGAGGGGGAAGGAGTTAGAAAGGGGGAAAGGGAGCAGGGAAAAGAGGGCACCCCCTCCCCTACAACTTGCACAATCTCCTCCCCACCAGCCAACCCACCCACCCACCCACCCACCTCCCCGGGCCGCAGCAGCCGTGCAAGCGGAGCCTGCCGGCAGAAAATAATGCAGGCGCTGCAGAGAAGGGGAGGGTACGGGAGGGGAGGGGAGGGGAGGGAGAGGGGGTGGGGAGCCGAGAGCAGAGGAGAAGGCAGAAGAGAGCGGAGCCGGCCGCGGAGCACCCACACTGGCGGCTGCCGGAGCGCGGGGTGAGCGGGGAGGAGGGGGCAGGAGGGGGAGTGGTCAGCGACGGGGGGGGGTGGGGGGAGCAGCGGCTTCAGCCCTCCTTTCCCCCCGACGCGCTGCTCTTGTGAGCTCTGGGCAGCCAGGTCCCTGCGCGGGGGTGCGGGAGTGTGTGTGCGTGCGTGAGTGGCCGCGGCCGCCGCTGCCACCCGGGCTGCTCCTGGGGCCCGGCTGCTCCGCGCGTCGGCCCGGGGCTCACGGGGGCCCGGGGCGGCCGCTGGTTGGCTCGCGCGCCGCCCTCGCCTCCAATCCCCGGTGCCTGCCCTAATTTCCTGATCTCGGGAACCTGCCGCCGCGGCAGCTGTGCGCTCCCTACAGTCCTTACTGTACCCTCCCGGCCGGCGGCAGCGAGAGCGGCGGCCGCAGCGGTTAGCGCTGATGCAACTCGCGCTGCTCTTGCCACCGCCTGCCCGCTAGCGGGGCCGGCGGCCGGGGGGACCCGCGGCTTCCAAAGGCAGCAAGCATCTCTCTCTCCCTCTCTCCCTCTCTGCCACCCTCTCCTGCGCCCCAAAGGCAGGCTGGTACTGTGAGGCCGGTAGGTAGCGGCTTCCTCAGGCCTCCTCCCTCCACCTGAAAGTGATGGAGCGGACGGGCTCGAGACCTTCGGGCTGCTCCGAGGTGGGGTTCAGGGTGCCTTGTCTCAGTCGCACGCCGAGATGCCGTTTTGGCTAAAACTTGAATGTGCTTTTCAATGAGAGAGTGAGTGAGTGAGTGAGTGAGTGAGTGAGTGTGTGTGTGTGTGTGTGTGTGGCTTGTTCTCTGGGATAGAACGGGACTGAAATAACCCAGGCTGGGAGGAGGGAGATAGCCAGCGCAGCCCTGCATTCACTCATCAACCATTAGAGTTAATTGCTAATTGCACAAAATGATAGTTTGAGGGCCTGTAATTAAAAGCTTAACCTTTTCTTGTTTGCGGGGGGGGAGGGGGGGACCTAGGTTTATTCTTCTGGATACACTTTGTAACATTTAATTATAAGGCTTAAGAAAAAAGGAAGTAGGGCAAGATTCCCGTTAAGGACTGATTCTTGTTTTGTGCCTGGCAGGACCTGAGCCTGTAATTTGTTTTGTGTGTGTGTTTATTTCAGTTTTCTAGCACACTTTCTCCTGGCTGAGGTGCACTGTCTCGGTGGTTTATTAAGCACTTAGCAAGAGTTGGAGCGCACAAGGAGCCATTTCTCCGTCTTAAATAAAGGGTTTACATATTTTCTTATTCTTTTCCTTTTTCTTTTTTTTTAAGTTATTTTCAGGTTGAAAATAACCCAAACTTTGCCAGTTTCAATAGGACCATGTTCTAGAGGTGTTCTGTTGGTGATCTGAGACGTGGTGGGAACTGCTTATCTATATTCTCTTTGCCCTGGTGCTTCTAGGCCTTTGTCAAGGCTAGCCATCAGAGGGGATGTTTATGAGGAACTTACTGTATCCAGGAGATGGCAAGAAAAGGAAAATTGCAGATCAGGATACATTTTAGTGGGGACAGGGGCATCAGGATTGCTAACTGATAAACATTAAGGGGTTTAACTCTTGTTTTGGGGGAGGGTTACACTATCACTCATTCCGAACGCTGTTCTGCCCACTCCATGATCGTACATTTAGTTCCAACTGCAGCCCGTGCACATGTTGCATGTGAAACTGAATTCGGATTTGTCTTATGCCGTTGGGTAGCGAAAATGCGTGTAGGTGTTGTTCTCCTAACAGGCATTAAGGTGTGATGGTAAAACCTTTGGGACACATAGCCTTCAATATTCTCAGGGTTTCAAAAGATCTGCAGATGAGGAAAGGTGGTAGAGGGGTGAGTGGAAGCCATATGGAAAAGCACAGTGTTAATAAACAGTCCGTGTGGCTTGCGTTTAGTCTTTCTCTCAGAGATCAATGCACGGGTACTACAAGCTAAACCCTGACATGGTACAATAGACTTACAGTTGACGAACATGTATTTTGCTTTCTGCTCCTCCAAGGGCTATGAATAAACTGTTGGTGACCTTAGCTGAGGCTCTGTGTTCAATCTGGTAGCTTTGTTGTTGAACCAAACCATAACTTTTAGCGGGACCTCTCGTTGGCTGTGTAACATAGGAAAATCACTGTGCCTCTCTGTGCCTGCCCTCTGACCTGTAAGCCGAGAACAAAACTAAGCCACATAAAGTCGGAGCGCTCTGTGGCCTCAAGGACCAGCTCTCTGCAAAGCAGTGATAGGAGAAAACAATTATAAGAAGAAATGAACTTAATACAGAAAATAACCGTGTAACCAAAACAAGGAATTTATCATGAGAGGAGACGGGTGTGGTTGAACCAACTGGTCTCAGGAAGGTGGACAGTGCTAGATTCAGAAGCCTTCAGGTACACGCAGAGGCAAGCATTCACTCCCACAGTCCATCACATTTATTTTTTTTGTGGAGGCAACAGGCTTTGGGCATCCCTGGGAGGTAGCCCTGTGCTTTGCAGTGGGCATAGGGAGATGCCAACCAGAGGAAGCTCAGGATCTGGTGGGGACAGCAGAGAAAGAGCACAGCCCAGGGATGCTCAAGGTTCTGTGAGATTATAGGGGAGGGTAGCTCATCTAGCTGGGGAACTAGGGTGTCAGAAAAGGCTTCCCAGGGCAGTTGACTCAGAGCTCAGTAGAGTCATCATTTTGACCAAGTCATGGTCACTTGGTAGGGTTGTACTTTCTGGCCCGACTATGGTTGAAATGCCCCACTCAAGTGCGAATTTGGGGCAAGTATTTGCGAGAAGTCACAGGGTGTCATTTGCAGAGTGGGGCATTTCATTGCTTGAATGAGACCCTCGCTTTTTGTCTGCTGTCTAATGATAAGAATTGTGCGAGATACGACGGTCTCACGGACCCAGTGTGAATGACTTCATGAGTAATTCTGCGCTGTCTGCATGTATCTGGCAATAGTCATAGAGAGTTGAGGTCAGCAAATGGCCAGTGGCCTGTTTTTGGACGGCCTATGAGTATAAGAATGGTTTGTATGTTTTTTAAAAGATTGTACAAAAAAACCCACAACTCACCCAAAAAGCAATAAATGAACTAAACAAAGAAGAAAAATATGCAGCAAAAATCATACGTTGCTCACAAAACCTAAAATATTTACTACCTGGGTCTTCGGAGGAGAAACTTGAAGCCTCTTTACATAGAGTGAATGCAAATAAACCTGTGTTGCGTTCATCTCCTGGGATTTTGTTAGCTTAGCCTTCCCTGCATTAACCTGGCCGATGCGCTGGGTGAATGGGGTAGGAAGACTGGGGCGAGCAGAGGGAACAGAGGCCAAAGAGTATTCAAGGAAAATGCAAGAGATGCAGAATGCTTCAAGGGTGAGTTTCAAGTGGACTAATGGTGGGGAAGAAGGCTAAGAAGGAGAGGCGGGACTGGCTTATGCGGAGACCTGTACGATGTCATGAGAACACTTTGCCTTCATCCTGTAGGCCATGGTGAGGACTGGTGATGGCCTTTCTTTTAAATTTTGAAATATTTATTGAGTCATGTGATTCACAAAGGAGTAATTATAAAATGCAGAGAAAAATAAATTATAAAGATTTTATTTCTTTATTAGAGAGCACAAACAGGGAGCGTCAGGCAGAGGGAGAAGCAGGCTCTCTGCTGAGCAAGGAGCCTGATGTGGGGCTCGATCCCAGGACCCTGAGATCATGACCTGAGCTGAAGGCAGATGCTTAACCAACTGAGCCACCCAGGTGTCCCAAAAAAGAATTTTTATTTTTTATTTTTTTAAGGTTTTTATTTATTTATTTGACGAGAGATCACAAGCAGGCAGAAGGGCAGGTGGAGAGAGAGGGGGAAGCAGGCTCCCCACTGAGCAGAGAGCCCCACACGGGGCTGGACCCCAGGACCCTGAGATCATGACCTGAATTAAAGGCAGAGGCTTAACCCACTGAGCCATCCAGGCGCACCCCACTGAAAAAGAATTTTTAAAAGCATACTCTGAATGCCCAGAGATATTGACATATTCTGTTTCTTTACTTTAAAAAAATGTATTTAATTTTATTCTCAGGGCACAGAATTGTATTGATATTACTATAATTGGTACAGTTATGTCTCTCTTTATTTGCTAATTTACTTCTGTAAATAATATATTTATATATATATATATATATATATATATATATATAAAAGCCCACTGCTACCTCCAAGTAATATAATATTGGCAGTAATACCTAGCTAAGTCCTTCTCTGGGAACACATCTAGCTCTCTTCCCTGGAGGAAACCATGGTTGTGATGGGTTTTGATTGGAGCTCTGATAACCAGTACATTCTAGAACGTTCACTCTGGCAGTGGTATGAAGAATGATGGAGTTGGGAAGCAGGTTGGTCTAGAGGAAGAACAATTAGGAGGTTCTGGTAGTGAGGGGACCAGGAAGAAACTGTTATTTGCACTCAAAACTGTTCATAGAATTCCTTTGTGAGATGTTTCTCCCCAGCCCTTTGGACATATCTCATAGAATAGTGTTTTCGAGAAACCCGCATAATCCATAAGGCTTCCTGGCAGTGTCTGCAGAACGTGCAGGTTCTCAGCTCCTCCCTTGGAGGTCATAACCCAGTGGGTATCATGTCTGTCCCAAGGGGCTGCGTATGTTATCTTACTCCGGCTGATT